CTAACTATATATATATATATATATATATATGATAATTGTCCATATATATATATATATATATATATATATATATAATTATTGTTCATATATCTATATATATTTATATATATATATATATATATATATATATAATTATTGCTCATATATGTATAATTATTTATATATTTTATATGATTTTTATTTCATATATATATATGTATATATATATATATATTGCTTACGTTAATTTTTAATAGTTACAATTTATTTTTAGTACATACAGTTTATTTAAGTAAATGGTCTGTTTTTAAAAATAAACAGAATTAATTACTTTTACCGACCTGAATGTCCGACAAATTTTGCTAGAAAATATGCAGTCTCAGACAGGAATCGATACTGTGTACTAATGTAAACCTCCAAATGATCTGACGTGCTATAACACTTAGCTACAAAGAAGCGTGTGGTTCACTGACTGGTATACACCCCACACACGCAGAAACGTAATATATATATATATATATATATATATATATATATATATATATATATATATATATATATACTAGCTGAAATCCCCAACACTGCCAGGGTGTACATGTTTGCAATTGCATAACCACACCCTCCTCCGTCTAGAAATGTCTGCCTGCGTCCACGCATGTATACATCATCCGTTGGTATGCTAAGCTTCTTCCCGTCCCTTATCTGTTTTACAGTATGTCATTCGCAAGCATTTCATTGTTCCTTGTAAAACTCTCTTGTGTGATCGTTGCTCGGTGTCATATTGTTTCAATGTTTTAGATATTCAGTAAATTTCCTATGGCCGTAGTAACTTCCAAATAGTATGGCATCTTACACAAATCGAATAAACCAGAGATGAAACGTCAGAACTTGATTAAATTGAAAGTGTAAACGCATGAAAGCCACTCCAATTGTTCTTCTCACGTTTACTGTAAAGCTGGAGTTAATAAGATGTTATTCAAGATTTTTTTTCCTTTTTAACGCTTCAATAATACTTCTCAAACAATCAAATGTTGTTCGAATGGCAATTTAGGATGGGAACATATGTAGAGACTATTGGCTAAATGGCATAAACCTAATTTGAACCTAGTTTGTAGCAGATTTCGTACACTTAAATGAAATAATCTAAACGACACATTAACACAAGACAATTTGTTCATCATATGTAATTTACATGGTAAATTTTGAATTCATTGGATGAAAAACCGGGGAGTTATGGCCGAATAACGTACATTTTGGACAGATTTAGTGGGTTTTCGTAATATGCTGGGAAGCGATCAGGACTAAACCCACGCTATCTTATTGCTTGCATGATGCCTATTTTTTTGCGGCATGTTTGAAGATATTCAAATAAAAAATGGGGAAGTTATTCAAAATTTTATATGAAGTAGTACGCAAACTCCCATTTTTATCGGAATTTTTTGGGTGAAGCCTGTGTCTGGAAAACTTTCAAGCACTCAACACGTAACATGAGCTATGTTTTGCATTAAGCGCAAAGTACATCAGCTCCTCCAGTAGAAATTTCGTTCGCGTGTAACTTTGCCCTGGTATTTGCAAAACGTCGTACCCACCTTCAGTTTTATCAATTTTTGTGCAATTTTTCATGACAAACGAAACCTATGATCCACTTAAACACATAAAGGATACAAAGGAACGTTGCTTAACCAATTAAAATCAAACAATATTAAATTAAAAATACTAATATTTTTCCATAACCCATTCTTTGACGAAACTTTAAAAAAATCGAAACATGTTAGATCTATGAAGATTTCTTACATGTTAAATTATCATATATATATATATATATATATATATATATATATATATATATATATATATATATGTAGTGAAATTCCCAGATGAATATATATATAGATATGCATCGTAAATCGCCACGTCAAACATTTTTCTGCAAAAATTTTAAATATTTTTATTGTTTTTATCTTATATATATATATATATATATATATATATATATATATATATGTGTGTGTGTGTGTGTATATATGGGTGTGTGTATGTATATGTATATGTGAGCATGTATGTATATATATATGTGTGTGTATATATATGTGTGTGTATATATATATATATATATGTGTGTCTATGTGTATATATATATGTGTGCATATATATATATATGTGTGTGTGTGTGAGTGTGTGTGTGCGCGCAAATATATAGAAAAATAGGAAAGAACACGTTTGTCAAATATCCCGAAGTTCATTAGTACTTTTGTTTTTATTTTTAAAAAAACAGTGCTCAATACAAAAGTAGAGCCTAAATTAAAATGATTTTCTTTTCAAATATGATTCCTTCGAAGGAATGATATTTTTATAGAAATTATCATAAAATTTCATATATATATATATATATATATATATATATATATATTTAAGGGATAAAAATGCGATTATTTTCCCTTCGTCCAGATAAAGTCAGGGACATTGTTGGAAAAGGCAGCCAGTCAAATTGAGCAGAGCATATTTAAAGCACGTGTATAGCACTTCCCCCGCCCTGGTGGAGGCTGAAAACTGCTTCCCTTCTCAAACTGCCATATGTTGCAGTCTACAAGAATTGGGCGCTGTTTTCCTATTGAAATACATTTTTCCCAAATATCCAAGAGACTGTCCTCATATGGCGAGATACCCAAGACACCACTTCCATATTTCCGGAATATATTCTCGCTAGGCACATAGCAGATAAACTTAAATAAGTCCGACTCGGATCTGAAATCCGAAATATGGTTAATCAGAAATAATATATACATATATATATATATATATATATATATATATATATACACACACACACACACACACACACACATATATATATATATATATATATATATATATATATATATGAAGAAAAAATATACTGAAAACAATATGAGATTATGCTGTTTTAATGTTTAATGTCAACGTCGGACGTTTCGGCCTAATAGACCATCTTCAGGACATATTCATAAAACATAATCAACATACATATAATTCTGGTAATTCTTTTGGTCGCATCTTTCTACCAAATAACCATTTGACTGAACGGATCTCCAATAATTTAAATGCGTTAAAAATCAAAACTACAATATTACCTACTAGAACTATCCGTAGTTTATTAAATAACACCAGCAAACAACATATTACATCCGATGCTTGCATCTATCAAATCTCATGCAACAACTGTGACTTAAAATATGTGGGTGAAACATGTAGGTCCGTAAAATCTCGTGTTTTCGAACATAAACGAGATATTCGCCTCGGTAATTTAAACAATGCTTTAATTGTACACACAACTAAAGCTGATCATAATTTCGATTTTGATTCTGTAAAGATTTTTAAATATTTTCATAATAAAAATCTTAGGCGGATTTATGAGGCAGGCATAATATCTATCTCACGCACAGTGAACACTAGACCTGGCTTCTTTAATATTTCCCCTTTTCTAGCAAGATTAATGCTCGACAAACATACTTATAAATTTTAGATCAAAATAAAATTCTTTTCGTTTTTCATTCAAAATACTCAAATTTTAGGAATACGTTTTCACAACATCGACCACGTGACGACGACGTGATCATATTTAAACGGAAAGCTGATCTTATAAAAGATTTCCGTTATCTGTTTGCATTGGTATTGCTTTTATGTTCATCGTCTTTTTCATGTTGAATTGTATATGGTCTATGTTAATTATGTTTTATGAATATGTCCTGAAGATGGTCTATTAGACCGAAACGTCCGATGTTGACATTAAAACATTAAAACAGCATAATCACATATTAGGATTTTTTTGTTTGTTTTTTTCAGTATAGTTTTCTTCATACTGTCGGATCTATATCCATGTATTTGCTTACATATATATATATATATATATATATATATATATATATATATATATATATATATATACAGGTGGCCTGACGATTGCATCTAGCATGAAACAGAATGTGGCCTCTAAGAGTTGACTTCTATGTTCACTTTTATATTTACGCACACTCTATCTCTGATATTGAGTACTTTATCCCATAATTATAGGACATTTAAGACTATATTTCTTTTTATATATATATATATATATATATATATATATATATATATATATATATATATGTGTGTGTGTGTGTCCGTCTGTATGTGTGTATGTTGACACAAGTCTCAATATATAAAATATATTAAAGATTCCCTACAAGTTAGTTACTTTACCTTAATACTATTAACTATTCTATATTAAATTAAAGACATTTCTGTCTAATTTTTCACCATTTTTATGACTTGTAGCATCAGTTCTTATGTAATTTCCAAATAATTTTTACGTTCTTTTTTATGGATTTTATTCATTTTTAAGTTGTCTTTCGTTTATAAAATATTTAAATGAGATAAAAGTATTAGGTTAAGGTAAAATTCCGTAACCCCGTAGATATCTCATTCAATTAGCGGCTGACTGATTTACATCTATCACTTCTTTCATGAATGTAGCTTGGTCACTATCTCAGAGTGTTAGCTATTTATCTATCTGTCTATCTATCTATCTATCAAAAGGTATATCTATCTATCTATCTATCTATATCTATCTATCTATCTATCTATCTATCTGTCAAAAGGTATTCCTATCTATCTATCTATCTATCTATCTATCTATCTCAGTCTTAGTTCTATCTATGTATGTATCTATCTGTTAAAATGTATTCTTATCTATCTATCTATCTATCTATCTATCTATCTATCTATCAAAAGGTATATCTATCTATCTATCTATCTGTCAAAAGGTATTCCTATCTATCTACCTACCTATCTATCAAAAGGTATTTATATTTATCTATCTATCTATCTATCTATCTATCTATCTCAGTCTTAGTTCTATCTATCTATGTATCTATCTGTTAAAATGTATTCTTATCTATCTATCTAACTATCTATCTATCTATCTATCTATATATATATATATATATATATATATATGTATATCTCAGTCTTAGTTCTATCTATCTATGTATCTGTCTGGCAAAATGTATTCTTATCTATCTATCTATCTATCTATCTATCTATCTATCTATCTATCTATCTGTCAAAAGTTATTCCTATCTATCTATCTATCTATCTATCTATCTATCTATCTCAGTCTTAGTTCTATCTATGTATGTATCTATCTGTTAAAATGTATTCTTATCTATCTATCTATCTATCTATCTATCTATCTATCTATCTATCTATCAAAAGGTATATCTATCTATCTATCTATCTGTCAAAAGGTATTCCTATCTATCTACCTACCTATTCATCAAAAGGTATTTATATTTATCTATCTATCCATCTATCTATCTATCTATCTCAGTCTTAGTTCTATCTATATCTATGTATCTATCTGTTAAAATGTATTCTTATCTATCTATCTAACCATTCATCTATCTATCTATATATATATATATATATATATATATATATATATATATGTATATCTCAGTCTTAGTTCTATCTATCTATGTATCTGTCTGGCAAAATGTATTCTTATCTATCTATCTATCTATCTATCTATCTATCTATCTGTCAAAAGTTATTCCTATCTATCTATCTATCTATCTATCTATCTATCTATCTATCTATCTATCTATCTCTCTCTCTATATATATATATCAGTCTTAGTTCTATCTATCTATGTATCTATTTGGCAAGATGTATTCTTATCTATCTATCTATCTATCTATCTATCTCTATATATATCAGTCTTAGTTCTATCTATCTATGTATCTATCTAGCAAAATGTATTCTTATCTATCTATCTTTCTATCTATCTATCACATTTATATATATATATATATATATATATATATATATCATCCTGTATGAGATAGTTAAAAATCCATAGCATGATGAAAATGTCTCCGAAACACACTTTTATTGTCAAAATATTTATGTTATTATTAAGAGGAAAAAACAAAGTATATTTTAATTATTTAAAAAAATAATACTTCTTTTTAGAACATTCTAACTTTTAATTAATAAAATTCTTGTTACTCTTTGTGTCAGCAGAAGTACAAAATAGCATAACAAATTTTAGCGCTTTTTATGACAGACATTAATTTGGAAAATCTTGCAAAAATAAAAAAAAAGTCGGATTTTAATGAAACTTTCAGAAACTATTCACAAATCATGGAAATTATTATAAATATATTTTTCTTATATTAATCTCAAAATAATATTTGTGAAAATTCTAATTATTAAATACCGTAAAATTTAGTGATTATATTAGTTAAAAGCACAAGGTTTTGAGGAAAACAGATCATTTTTTTATCGGACTCCAACTAACTAAGAATCAGTTATGAATTGTAACATACAAAACTCAATAAAACAAAGTTATTTAATTAAAAATGCTTTTATTGCTTTTGCTTGTTCTTATGAATATGGATAATATTGTGTGAAACCAAATAACTTTTTCGATGAAAAGTGAATTTTTAAAACAATTATTTGTTATTTCTTAAATTATTTTATTCTTTTCACATTAAAGTTGTTAAATATTATAAAATTAGGGAAAATGATCTATAGCTTAGATAATGGTGTTATTACTTAGATCAATCTTTACAGATTATAAATTGCAAAGCTGATTACAATCAGCAGACCACAAGTATACAAAAGAATCTAATATAACATGGCTTTTGTGTCTATAAAATGGCTGTAATTCAAATGTACGGAAGACCGGAAGCAGTATGAATACAATAAAACTTCGCTATAAAACGTTGTTCCTCGTTGTTATGGCCTTTATTTTTACCAAATTTTTCGTACGAAAAACGTGTGGAGAAATTAATTTGATTTTTCAATTTCAACTGAGAATGGTACCTATCTCATGAAATTTATATGATCTTATTTTTATATTATCTGTTATGACATTTTTCCACCAATGAAATATCAAAATTAACAATAAAATGAATGGAAACTTATAATACTGTAAAATGTAATAAATGTAAATAAAACTATAGTATTTCATATACACTTCTGATAAAATTTCATCAGAAATGTACCTATAATTAACTAGATACCTTATTTATGATATTTTATCTCTCTCTCAACAGTCTTATTTTAATTGTTATAATATATTTTCTATAAAGCGTCGTAAACGTAAAGGTGAAAGCTAAGTAACCCTCAAAAATATTAGAGCGTTGAAAGATTTCCTTAAAAGTATCTATAAGTTGGTTCGCTTAACACTAAATAATTATGTCACTGCTGACCTTCCGTACGATAGCTTTCCTTCACATAAGATGTCAATACGTGATGAAATCATCACTCGTAACTTGTCAATCGTCACCGTTGTTAAGACCTGCTTTTTCTTAATTTAAACTAGATTTTTTCGGCGCAGAAAGTAAGTAATGTTTGTTTCAAAATATATTAAATAAACGTTATAATTTCTAATTTTCTTAAAATAAATTTTGAAAAAATATAATTGAATTTTTAAAGATTTTTAAATAGAGAAATTCACTTTTGTTTACAAAAATTGAAAAAAAAATTGATGTCATA